TTAAAAAAGGTGCAGCACAGAGTGATTGGGGTGCTCTTGTGCATGGAACATACAAGGTTGACATGTACGTGCAGCAAGTAATCTAGAAGGCAAATAGAATTTTGGCCTTTAGTGCCAGGAGTTTGAAGTTTAAAAATAGGAAGTCTTGCTACAACTGTTCAGGGTGTTGGTGAGGCTGCTCCTGGGATATTGCCTACAATCTTGGTACCTGTACTTGAAAAAAAGGATATACCGGCTTTGAAAGCAGTTCACATTGGATTCACATAGTTGATTCTTGGGATAAAAGGGCTGGCTTATCACGGACAGCTAAACAAGCTTGATCTTTATTTGTGAGAGGTTAGAAGAACGAGGGATGATCTTATCGAAATGTGAGAGATTCTGAAAGAAGATTTGCCTAATTTTTGGGGAATCTCAAACTACAGGACAGTTACAGAATAAGAGAACAATCATTTAAAACAGAAATGTGAAGGGATTTTCTTCTCAAAGGGTGTGAATGTCTGAAATTCCCTACCACAGAGAGTTATGGGTGTAGATCATTGAAATTATTTAAAGAGGACGTAAATAGATTTTTCAAATATTAGAGAGTTGAGGACTGAGAAGTTGGCATGAAAGAGGAGTTGAGGCTTGGGGCAGAACTGCCACAATTTGATCCACAAGCTTGAAGGGCCAAATGGCCTACTCCTGTTACATATCATATGTTCTTATGCTTTTAGAGACAATAATGTGGGACAAAATTAACATTCACTTGGACAAATGTGGATTAATTAAGGAAAATAAGCAACTAATTCGCTTGTCCTTTTGCTGAAGTAACGGCAGGGTTTATGACAGTAATGCTGTTGAATTGGTGTACATGGAATTCCAAAAGCCACTAGATTAAGTGCCATAATACACTTGGCAACATAGGCCATAGAGAATAAAATGGTCAGTGGTAGCAAGGATACAAAGTTAGCTAAATGTCAACAAACAACAGTATTTGTTTTCAGACTGGAGGGAAGATTGCCTAATTGTCAATATTAGGACTTCTCCCCTTTTTTCTGTTCTATACGAAAGGCCTAGAATTGAGTGAGCAAAGCACAGTTTCAGAATATGCAGATGACACAAAACTTTGAGGAAGACAGTTATTGACTACAAGAGATCATTTGAGGTTTTACTTTTCTTTATACCATTCTTTCAAGAGGGAATAGTGTGGAGTGTTGCAAGGATTTGTAGGTTGAGCAACAACCTGTTAAATCATACACCATAGCACAGTACTGTGTGCCTGTGACTGGCAACTGTTGTCACACATACTTATTCACACTCAGTTGAGTGTAACAAAGCACATAATACTGGGACTCTCTGCTCAACACCCATTCCTAGTTGCCTTTTCTTGCAGTCCCCCACACATCTATAAACTGATGAAACCCCTCAAACTACTTGAAACCATTCATCCTGCCCTCACTTACCAGCCTACGATGATCTGTTCAATCCACCTACTGCCTACCTTCAAACTTGACACCCCATATGGAGTAACCTTCCTGAGCAAGCAACCATCCTTTGGATAAATGAATAGGAACACAAGAAATCACTAACAAGTTCCTTGTGAAAAACTCAGTCTGTGAAATGGCAGGTTTAGAACCACCGTAGTGAGGATAAAAGCAGGGCCCCTGTACAGCCAACCTCCACCACTGGGTCTTAGTGTAAATCCCTTCAGCACTTGTAGAGAGACAGAAACGTCACTGCATCTCACTCAGAAATGTTCCCACTATGGACTGAGTACAGGGGGCTAGGCAGACTAATCTCAAATGCAGCAAACTGAAGAGGCTATGGTTCGGTTTTGGGGATTTTCATTTGTGAAATAAATAAACAGTGCTTTGTCCCTGGCCATCCAGTCTTGGAGTAGGATGAAGAGTAGCAGCAGTGTGTACCGTCTGCAAGATTCACTGCAGTAATTCACCCGGGCTCCTCCAACAATATCTTCCTAACCTGTCACCTCTATCACCTAGAAGGGGGAAAGGTATCAGTTACAATGGCAACTCCACCAGTTCCCCTCCAAGACACACTCCTCTCAACTTGAAATTATAATGACTGTTCCTTCAGTGGCTCTTGTTCAAATTCCTGGAACTCCCTTCATAACAGCATTGTGGGTGTACCTACACCAAATAGACTTCAGCAGTTCAAGGCAGTGGCTCACCCTCACCTACTCAAGCGCAATTAAGGATGGGCAATAAGTGCTAGCCAAGAAACACTTGCATCCTGTGAATTAATAAGTAATAAAAAGCACCAGCTTCTCTGAACTACCCAAGTTTCTGAAGTGCTGCATTTCCGAAACCATAGTACCTAGACACCTTCAAGATTATGAAAAGATTTGACTGGCAAGTTTTGGCAAAGATCTGTAGCTTGGGTTGTGGGTGAGGTTGTTGACTTGCTCACGGAGCTGGCTTGTTCTCGTTCAGACGTTTTCTCACCATGCTAGGTGACATCATCCATGGAGCCACCGATGAAGCGATGTTATTCTACTCCGCTTGAAATTTATACTGTTTGGTCTGTTATGGTCAGTAGTGTCATTTCTGGTTTTGATCTGTATGGATTCGTATATGGGGTGCAATTCTATATGTTTGTTGATTGAAGCATGGGTGGAGAACCATGCCTCTAGGAATTCCCGTGCTTGTCTATGTTTGGTCTATGTGATACCATGCAACGACTGCCACAAACATTACATTGGACAGACAGGAAGGAAACTAGCCATCTGAATACATGAACATCAACTAGCAGCAAAACGACACGACAAACTCTCCTTAATATCGGTACATTCAGACAATGAAGGTCATCAGTTTAACAGGGACAAGGTAACCAAGGGACAGGATCAATGTCATCTACAAGATCCCCTGCAGAGACTGCGAGAAACACTACATCGGACAAACAGGAAGGAAACTAACAACAAGAGTACATGAACACCAACTGGCTACAAAAAGACACGACCAATACTCACTCATCTCAATCCACATGGACAAGGAGAACCACCACTTCGACTGGGACAACACCAAGATCCTGGGACAGGCTAGGCAGAGACAAGCACGAGAATTCCTGGAAGGATGGCACTCCACGAAGCATGCTATTAATAAACACATTGAACTCGACCCCACATACATTCCGCTAAGGAGGAAACCCTGAAGTGAGGCAATCCGTCGCAACGGATCCCAGAGTTTAAAAACCAGGCGGGAAAACACACCGTCGCTTCATCAGAGGCTGCACTGAGGATGTTACCAAGCACGGTAACGAAACGTCTGTGGAACAACAAACCAGCCCGGCGAGCCAACCAACCTCAACACCCACAACCCGAGCTACAGATCTACTCCAAAACCTTAGTAACCATAGTAGCCCAAGCCAAACATAGGTACACACGGGAATTCCTAGAGGCATGGTTTTCCACCCATAAAGCAATCAACAAGCACATAGAATTGGACCCATTAACAAATGCATACAGATCAAAACCGGAAATGACCATAATGGACCAGACAGTATAAATTCCAAATGAGTAGAATAACATCGCTTCATCAGAGGCTCCACTGATGATGTCACCTAGCATGGTGATGAAACATCTGAACGAGAATAAGCCAGCTCGGCAAGCAAGTCAACAACCTCAGATTTGGCTGGTATACACAGAGAAGCTGTTTCCACTTCTTTGGGATCTAAAACCAGGACCTTAAGCATAACATGGTCACTCATAAAACCAATAAGAAATCCAGGAGAAATTTCTTTTCCCAGACAGAGGAGAGGATATGAAAGTCTCTCCCACAAGGAGTGGCTGACTTGAATATTTTACATATATTTATGTACCACAGCACCAGGGACCCGGGTTCGATTCCAGCCTCGGGTGACTGTCCTTATTGGGTTTGTACATTCTCCCCGTGTCTGCGTGGGTTTCCTCCGAGTGCTCCGGTTTCCTTCCACAGTTCAAAGATGTGCAGGCTAGGTGTATTGGCCATGCTAAATTGCCCTTAGTGTCCAGGGATGTGCAGGCTAGGTGGATTAGCCATGCAAAATGCAGAGTTACAGGAATAGGTTGGGGAGGGGTGGATCTGGGCCTGATGCTGTTCGGAGGGTTGGTATGAACTCAATGGGCTGAATGGCCTGCTTCCACGCTGTAGGGATTCTTTGACTTTATATTTAAGGGAAGATAAATAAGATGGGGAGAAGAATAAGAGATGCAGATAGGGTGAGATGATGTCAGATGGAAGGAGGTTCATTTGGATCACAAACAATAGTACAGAGCAGATGGGCTAAATGATCTGTTTATGTTCTGTAAATCCCACTTAATCGTATGTTTCATTAAGGGGTGTAAGTAAATTGCAACATAGCATATTTGAAAAAAAACACAAATTGTGTTTAAGTGTAGGATCTCAAGCTCAGGATGACAGGTGAACGTTTTGGATTGCATCACTTGAGAAGAGGAGATGATAAATGTAGGGTACAGTCTTCAAAGGCAGAATTGGAGCAAACTCAAGATCAACCTCTAAGGATATTTGGCATAGAACCTGGCATTTGGATCTGATGAAGGAGCAGCACTCCAAAAAGCTTGTGATTTTAATTAAGTCTATGGAACAATAACCTCGTATTGTGCAACTTCTAACATTTTTAAGAATTTAAATGGAAAGTTAGTAGACAGCATTGGTCATTCCTTACCTTTGACAATTCCATTCATAGCACAGGAAGTGACAGGTACAAATATGTCCTTCTAGTGAGGTACTTTACATAATCCTCAGTCAAGTGCATACCATTCACCTACAATCCTTAAACCATCCATCTTTGACTTCTACCTGAACAAGACTATCAATTTGCTTTTAATGACTTAGTTTTATGTGAGGTGTTTGAGACTACTACAACTGGAAGAGACTCAGCCTCATCTTCAATCCTTGCTGAGAGGTTAAACTATTATTCCAGAATGCAAGAGATGTATAAAACTGTGCAGCAACTGATGGCAAATGATAGCTGTATCACTGACAAGAATTCAATATACTTACCCATAGTCATCAATTAAATGAGATCCTAAAACAACTACTTTCAGATCAAAAAGTTCAGGTTGCCCCTTGATGCCGAACATAATGGGAGCCAGCTTGGAATAATCTGCACGGTTGCATGTGGCAACACAAATTCGCAGCTTTTTCCTGTTCTTATTTTTCTCCATGGTCTTCTAATTTTGAATATTTTTATGTATAAATTTCTGAAAATAAACAGAAATGAGATTTATGTAAATTTGCAGCATGATGCAGTTTTCCAATGAGCAAAATTCAAATATTCAGAGTTAGAATATATTTACCACATTCCTTTGTGCACTAAATAGCATATACACATAAATATAATAAATACACAAACCTGAATTCTGAATGGAGAACACTATCACATTATACTTCTAAACACCAAACCTCTCTTAAACCAATACTCGCATTAATTATGGAGAATTAGGAGAGTTTAGGAAAGCAATTCATTGCAGAATATTTATCTAGGAAGGTGGAGAACTAGAATTTGGGAGAGGCAGTCTCTCCATGGTTGTCTGCCTGGAATTCCAAGTCACGATTGTCTCTTTCAATTGTAGCACAGCTTCACGCTTCATCCATTTCAGGGAAAGTGCATTGGAAAGCTCAACTCTCCAACAAGGACCAACTCTTTGTACTTTTGACATTGAGAAGATCTCACAGAAATCATCTTTTAATCTATTGGAGCTAAATAGCAAATGGAATCATTCTGAAAAATAAGCTCTGCAATATATACATAAATACATACATACCTCTCTCTGAGATCAAACTGCTAGGTTGATGAGCAAGGTCCTGCTATCATTCACGTAGAATGTCTTGCTGCTTCGTGGTGGAGTTTACTCATTCTGATCTCACAATAATTTGCTTTATCTCTGAAGCCTTCTTTGTTGGGTTCCCTGAACAATGAGAAAAAGGATTTTTTAAGAGCTGGTGCTTACAGAAAGGGAGGGGTCAGCAGTATGGGGTAGATGGAATAAAGAAGGAGGGGAGGGGGAGGACAAAGAGTTGCTGCCCAATAAAGTACATCCTAACTCTTTCTCTGTTCAGAAATGCATTCCCCCACCCCGACAAATCCTAGAAATGCATGTTCCATTCCTCCCACTGTCCCGGGATATTTGCCTGCTCCCTCCAATCACATCCCAGACAGCGAGATCATCTGCCCCATTCCGGATCAAGTGCCTTCTGTCCATCCTGCTCCCTAATTCCAGCCCAGGGTCTGTATACCCACATCCCAATTTAGGGAATGTTCGCCCCTGTTCGAACCCAGGGTGTTTCCTTGCTGCCCTACACCCACTTGGTCTGCCACAGGGAGACATATGCAGAAATCATTGGAGGCAGCAGGGCAGATTGAGAAAGTGGTTAAAAAGGGATCCTGAGCTGTAAAAGTACAGGCAGAGGGTATGAAAGAAAGAAATATGAGTCAATATACAATACGAGTTCAGCCTCAGCTGGAGTACCGAATCTCTTTGTGAGCATCACATTTTTAGGAAGAACATGAAAATGTCAGGAAGGATGAAGAAGAGATTTACAAGAATGGTTTCAGTATGAACTGCTTCATTTTCTTGGATAGATTCAAGGACTTTCTCCTTGAGGAGCAACACAGTTGCGAACCAGAGGACTCTGATTAGCAAATAAACTAGAGGTGACTCAAGGAAAAATATTTTTAACCAAGGAAATGGTTACAGGAAGAGCTGAGAGTTGCTAACCCGGGAATGTGTCCAATGTGACCCAGACTGCACTGCCCGAGTGTGGAGTGAAGGCAGATTCAATTGAGGCTTTAAAAAAAGAAGGGATTAGCTTCTAAAAGCCACAACAGCAGCTAGAAAGTAGGAGTAAAAGAGTATAAATGAAGAAATAATGGGGGTTGCAAGATAGGAATTGCAATAATCATTGAAAATTTTAATCTTCACAGATCGGACAAATCAAATTAGCAAAGTTAGCCGGTATGTTTGATTGTAGACATTTTGTCACTCTGCTAGGTAACATCGTCAGTGCACCTCCTGTGAAGCATGGGTGTTCTGTCCCACTTGTTATTTATATGCCTCAGTTTGCTGGGATGGTAGGCATTACTTCTGGTTCTGTTTGTCAGTGGTTTGTATATCGGGTCCAGTTCAATCTGTTTGTTGAAGAAGTTTTGGTTGGAATGCCAGGCGTCCAGGAATTCCCCGGCACGTCTCTGTTTAGCTCGTGCTATTATGGATGTGATGTCCCAGTTGAATTTGTGTCTTTCTTTGTCTGTGTGTATTGATACCAGTGAGAATTGGTCATGTCTCTTGGTGGCTAGTTGGTGCTCGTGGATCCTTTTTGTCAATTTTCTTCCAGTCTGGTCTCTGGCCATCACCATACAACAACAAAAGACCAGAACAAAGAAAAGAATAGCCCAAAAGAAAAACTATCCAAACTCATCCACAACAATGACACAGATAACACAGAAACGTGGATTGAGAACATCTTAGACCGACCACTTCCAGACAATGAGAAGACTGTCCTAGTGTATGGACTGAATTATAACTACTGAGACGCTAAAAAAACTGACTTCCTGGCTACGCTGGAATCAACACTAAAGAACAACGGATTCACGGAGGAAACACAACAGACCATCAGACAGACGATAGTCCCGACACTGAGCAGAAAAGGTAAACGGAACCATTCAACACAGAAGAGAAGAATGCCCTGGAAAGACTCAAGAAAGACAGAAACATCGTAATCTTACCAGCGGACAAAGGACGCATGACAATAATCCTTAATAGAGCTCAATACATCGAGAAAGCTAACACACTACTAGCTATTACCAACCACTACCAACAGATAGCAATAGACCCAATGGCATAGTTAGAGAACCAGATCAAAACAATCCTGAAGAAATTACACAACTCAGGAGATATCAGCAAGACAGGCTACCAAAAAATGAAACCAGAGGGATCCAACACACCCCACTTCTATGGACTGCCCAATGTAAACAAGCCAGCGGTCCCCCTCAGACCCATTGTCTCACTACCAGGCACGTCAACATATAGACCAGCCAAAGAACTACAACAGAAGCTGAAATACTTAGTTGACAACACTACCCATTCCATCCACTCCTCCCAAGAATTCCTCAACATCACTGACGACACCAGAATAGAAGAGGACGAGATAATGATATCCTTCAATATAACAGCATTACTTACATCCTTAAACGTTGACTTAGCCAAAGAGACAATTGCCACACTGCTGGACGAATCAGGAAGGGGGGGCACCCCACGACCCCAACAGCACCAACAAGGACAGCCCCCTGAAACTGCTAGATCTGTGCTTCACAACCCACTTCACCTTCAATGGCTGTATATTCAAACAAATCAACAGAACATCAATGGGATCCCCAATATCAGGAATGATCACAGAAGGTTAGAACAAACAGCACTCCCCATTATACAATCCAAACTCTGGGTCTGCTATGTAGAAAGCACCTTCGTGATTATCAAATGCACAAGACTAGAAGAAACCCACTAACACATAAACAACATCCTCACTGGAATAAAATTCACAAAAGAAGAAGAGAACAATAACCAATTACCCTTCCTAGACATAACGGCAGAACATAAGAACAATGGGGAACTCCAGGCTAGTGTATACAGAAAGTCCACACATACAGACCAGATACTTAATTATTCCAGCAACCACCCTAACACTCATAAAATGGACCTGCATCAGGACCTTATTCAAATGAGCCACATTTCAAAGCAGAACTATGTAAACTATGCTGCAGCTCTATAAAACCCTGGTTAGACCACACTTGGAATAGTGTGTTCAGTTCTGGTCACCTCATTATAGGAAAGATATGGAAGGTTTAGAGAGGGTACAGAGGAGATTTACCAGGATGCTGCCTGGACTGGGGGGCAGGTCTTATGAGGAAAGGTTGAGAGAGCTAGGCCTTTTTTTCATTGGAGCGAAGAAGGATGAGAGGTGACTTGATAGAGGTGTACAAGATGTTGATAGGCATCGATAGAGTGGATAGTCAGAGACTTTTTCCCAGGGTGGAAATGACTATTACGAGGGGGCATAATTTTAAGGTGATTGGAGGAAGGTATAGGGGAGATGTCAGAGGTAGGTTCTTTACACAGAGTGTGGTGGGCGCGTGGAATGCACTGCTGGCAGTGGTAGTGGAGTCAGATACTTTAGAGACTTTTAAGCAACTCTTGGATAGGCGCATGAAGGATAGTAAAATGTAGAGTATGCAGGGCAGAATGATCTTAGTTGGATAATAGGTCGGCACAACATTGTGTTCTATGTAGAACAGGAGCACTTATACAGAGTTTTTAAAAGGAATGGAGACCCAAAAAGCACAATCCGCCATTATCTCTGCCACAGGCCACAACAAGACGACACAACATGGCCAGACACACTAGTCACCCTACCATATATATCAGAGACGACCACAAGACTACTCAGACCCCTAAGCATCAGGGTAGCCTACAGACCAACAACCACCCTGCGACAGCTACTGAAGAACATAAAGGATCCCATACCCACAACCAATAAAACTAACGTAATACACAAAATACCATGCAAGGACTGTGACAATCACTACACAGGCCAAACAGGAAGAAAACTACAATAAGAATACACGAACACCAACTAGCCACCAAGAGACACCATGTGTATCAATACACATGGACAAAGACAGACACAAATTTGACTGGGACAACACATCCATAATAGCGCGAGCCAAACAGAGACATGCCAGGGAATTCCTGGCGTCCAGACATTCCAACCGGAACTCCATCAATAAACACACTGAACTGGACTCGATATACAAACCACTGAAAAACTGAACCAGAAGTAATGCCAACCATCCCAGCAAACTGAGGCATATAAATAATCAATGGGACAGAACACTAACGTTTCACCGGAGGCACACTGATGATGTTATCCAGCAGGGTGATGAAACGTCTGCAACCAAACACACCAGCTCAGTGAGCAAGTCTACAACCTCACCCACAACCCGAGCAACAAATCTTCTCAAAAAATTTAGCCTTGTGAACGAGTTCATAAAGTATCTCCACGAGTAAGGACAGTTACTTTGAACAATGTATTCTGGAACCAACAGGGAACAATCTATGTTATAGAAACATAGAATTGTTATAGCACAAAAGGCCATCTGACTGGTTGTGTGTGCTGTTTCTCTTAGGGATAAATCATCCAGGGCCATTCCCCTGCTTTCTCCAGGTTCAGATAATAACCCAATCCCTATGAAAAGCCTCAATTGAACCTGCTTCCACCACACTGTTTGGCAGTGTGGTCCCAATCCTAAGCACCCTCAGTGCAAAAATGTTTTTCTGTATGTTACTAACGTTGCTTTTGCCAATTATCTTAAATCTGCGCTTCTGGTTCTTGATCCTTCTGCCAACTGGAACAGAGGAGTTTCTCTCCAATTGCTCTGACTTGACCATATCATTGTAACGAGACAAGCTTATACGGTAGGATACAGTTAATGATCTCATAGCAAAATCATCCAGGAAAGCATGGTCAGAATATGATGAAATTGCACATTTTACTTGCTTGTGAAAAACTAGGGTCTTAAACTTAATAAAAGCAATCACTAAGATATAAAGACAGAGTTGGCTAAAGTAGAGCAGAAAATAGATGTGGCATAAATTTAAGGAGACGTTTCATAACTCTCAAAGATATACTCTATACCTTCCATATATTACATTTCTGCAGAGATAGTGGATATATTGCCTGCAATCTTCCAAAATGCCTAGATTCTGGAAAGGTCCCAGAAGTTTGGAAAATAGCAAATGTAACAACAATCAAGAAAGGAGGAGACCGAAACCTGGAAAGAAGAGGCTAGTTATCCAAACATAGGTCATTGAGTGTCCCAAACAGGTAAAGGAAGACAGACAGGCAAACATGTAGACACATAGACAAGAAGTGCAAAATCAACAAAGCAGAGACAACACAGTATGGAGCTGGAAGAACACAGCAGGCCAGGCAGCATCAGAGGAGCAGTAAAGTTGACATTTCAGGTCAGGACCCTTCTTCAGCTCCACGCTTTGATATCTCTGACTCCAGCATCTGCAGTTCTTGCTATCTCCAAATCAACAAAGCAGTTTTGTTGATTTTTTTTCACCATCCCAGAATTAACAAGGAAGGTTTCAGTTCAAAAGGAGTAGAGAGAGAGCAGGATTTTTGAAGTACATTCAAAATTTTTGGCCAGTATACGATAAATCCACCAACAGAAGGAAAGGGAGACAACACAGTGTGGAGCTGGAGGAACGCAGCAGGCCAGGCAGCATCAGAGGAGTAGAAAAATTGACATTTCAGGTTGGGCCCCTTCTTCAGAACTCATGTAACAGAAGGAGAGGTGCAAGATGGAATGTAAGGTACACAAAAACATGTGCAAATGGACATAAAAGGTTAAATTACTGTGTGAGAGAAACACGTAATTCAGGATGACAAATGTAAATATTGGCCTTTGTAGTAAGGTGGGGTGGAGTATAAAGAAATGGAGATTTTGTTACAACTATACAAGGAAATAGTAAGATCACACCTAGAGTACTGGGGACAGTTTTTGTTTCCTTATTTAACAAGGGCTATACTTGCCCTGGAAACAATCCAAATAAGGTTCACTAAGTTGATTCCTGGGATGAAGGGGTTATCTTCTGAGGAAAGGTTAAGCAGATAGGGCCTCTGCTAATTGGACAGCAGAAAAATAGAGATGGTCGTATTGAAAAAAAGCTGAACTCATGTGGATAATTTAAAGGTACAGATTCCCATTTATGGCACAGATGGGGACGAATTTATTTTTTCAGAGGGTCATTAGCCTTTGGAACTCTCTTCATTGGCCAATAGTAGAGGCTGGTCATTGACTACAGTATGTTCAAAGTTACGTTAGACAGATTTTTGAGAGTTATGGAAGATAAGCAGGACAGTGATTGGATCAGTCACAATCTTATGGAATAGCAGAAAACCCCAAAGAACTGAGGATGCTGAAGATCTGAAACAAAAACAGAAATAGCTGGAGAAACTCAGCAGGTCCGGCAGCATCTATGGAGAGAGAAAGCGGAATAAACGTTTCAGGTCCGAGTGACCCTTTTACAACTTGGTCAGGACGAGGGTGGAGGGGGTCACTTCTCTCTCTCACACACACACACTCTCTCTCTCACACACACACACTCTCTCTCTCACACAC